CTAAATTTAGGGCCCTCCCTGGTGGCACAGCGGGTTAAAGCACAGCACTGAGAATCTGAAGCCGCCTCCACATGAGTTCAATTCCCGCCTGCCCCGGAGGTGACCACATGGCGTGGCAGACCTCTCTTGACCCGCCCGCTGCTCCCCTCAGCAGTGTACTTTGTAGATCTGCCTGTTCTGTTCCCCACTCTGTCTCTGGTGAAGCCTCTCACCGCCCCTGAGCCTCTGACCTGTACCCCAGTTCTGTATGCACAAATAAATCTTTAAAAAAAAATTCTAAATTTGTGCGAACATGTATCTAATTATCTATCTGATATATACTCACATGTAAGTTAGAAACCTATGTAAACATTCACAATCAAGTTACAAAAGAATGCTAACGCAATCATTTTCATATCATTTTGTAAAAAAAAAAAGTAGACTATAGATAAATATGATAGTTTTCTATAAAGAAAAAAAATGTTTTCCATAATCTTCTACTTACAAAACTCAGATTTAGCAAATCCATTTCCCATCAAGAAAGTGACATTAGTGCTCACTTTTATCACTTCGGAGTTAAAATCAAATAGATCAGAGATATTCTGCCCGCGAAAGGGAGGGAGAGGGAACAAAAACATGGGACGAAAGAATACAAAGGTCTATGGTAATGATGCACGGATAAATTGGTGGTGGGAATTTTATGGAGGCTACATAAAGGAAAAAGCATACACTGCACAAAAACGAATAATGATGTAAAATATATACAATTTTAAAAATCATAAAAAAATAAGACCTCAATATCTCCCTTGGTGGCACAAGTGGTTAAGTCTCAGCATTATCAAGCTATTGCCAGTCACTGTGGCATGAGTTTGATGCCTGGCCAGGGAGATGACCCATAAGGAGCAGAAGACCTCTTCTCTCTGGTCCAGTGTTCCCCTCAACAGTGTATTTCAGTCAATCTGCCTATTCTGCTTCCCACTCTGTCTTTGGTGAATCCTCTTGCCCTTCATAACTCTGGCCTGCACCCTGGTTCTTGTATGCACAAATAAAATAAGATCAAAATCTATGTGCTTTTAAGCATGCGAAGTTTCTGAAAAAAATAAAATGATTCTATGTTTATGAAAATCACTGCTTTTTTTCTTTCTCAGGTTTTCGTCAAACTGTACTCCAGCATTATAGTTTAAAAACTGTAAAATTAAAAAAAAAAATACAATTCTCAAAATTATCAAAGTCCTGAAAGATAACAAAACAACAAATATGGATGACCTTGTATCTGGTACTAACTTTTTGGATACAACACTAAAGGCAAGATCCATGAAAGAATTAACTCAAAAGCTTGACTTAATTAAGAATGAAAAACATTTGCTCTGAAAAAGCTTTGTCAAAATGAAAAGACAAGCCACAGACTGGGAGAAAATATTTGCAAAAGCCATAGCTGATTAATCTAAAATAAACAAAGAACTCTTAAAACTCTAAGAAAACAATTCAATAAAAGAAAAGGCCAAAGACTTCTGTAGCTAACTCACCAAATGGATGGCAAGTAGGTACATTCCACATGTACCACACCACATCATGTCATATCAGGAAAATGTAAGTTTTCCCTTATACCTATTAAAATGGCTAAAATCCAAAGAACAATAACAGCAAGTGCTGATGAAGATTTGGAGCTACAAGAATTCTTTCTTTGCTGGAATGCAAATTGACAAAACCATTTGGGAAGATATTTTGGCAATTTCCAACAAAAATTACCAGAGAGCATAGCATATCAACGGTGGCATTTACCCAATGGAATTAAATGCAGGTCCACACAAAAATCTGCACATAAATGTTTACTACAACTTTATAACTGTTAAAACCTGGAACCAAAAAAGATGTCCTTCGGTGGTGAATGGATATATATATCACAATGATAAACCCAACAATAAGCTATTTAATACTAAAACAAAAATAACAAGTGATGAAAAGACAGGAAAACAAAAACATATACCTAAATGGGACAGAAAGTATGATAAATAAGGTTACATACTAACTCCATTTGTAGGACATCCTGGAAAATGCAGAAGTATGAAGACAACAAAAAAAGGTGAGTGTTTGCTATGGGTATGGGATAAATGGATGAATAGGAAGAGCACAAAGAATTGTGGGGGACAGTGAAACTACTCTATATACTATTGTGGTAAATACCAGTCATCACAAATTTGTCTAAATCTAGAGAATAGAAAACATTAAGGTGCCCCATAGTGTGAATTTCAGACTCTGGGAGACAACTACTGGTTCATGAATTACACCAATTGTACCACTCAGGTAAGGGTTGTTAAATATGTGAAGGATGGGAAGTGAGACTTCAAAATCGGTGACCAAGCCCCTCAATACTGCTGTGAATATAGAACTGCTATAGAAAGTAAATTTTTCAAATTTCCACTTGTGATCCTATATGTGTATTAAATTTCACATAAGCTAAAATATTAATTCATGTTTTAAATTACACAAACAGGAATTGATATAAATCACTTGAAGCAGGTCATTCAGTATTTACAAGTACATTTAAAACAAAATGAGCTATAAAAACTAATTCATTATGACATCACCACAAAGTTGGACCATAGGCAGCAATATCTAGATAAAGTAAAACTGAATTTGCAATAGCTAAAAATAATTGCTTTATCTTCTTTATGTATGCATTTTAATGGCCCCAACTTGAGGATAAGAATAATTCTCCTAACCTCTATTTTCTTAATATTTTATTATAGCACAAGAAAATGTGAAATTAAACTAACAGACTATTTGATTCTTTCCTGGGATGTAGGGGCTATCTCTAGTTATCTGGTACCTAAGCCTGGGTTAATTAAGTCAGGGGAATTAGTGGGTAGAATAGTTTCACAGAGACAGTGGTTGAGGGTTGGACTGGGGGACAAGTTGGAAGTTGGCCTGCATACTGAAAAGTTAGCAGGTCAACTGTTCTTCACTATTTCTAGAAATTGGCTAGCCCTTGGGGGGCCGTTCTCTCTAGGATTAGCAAGGCTCTAAGATGAAAAAGCATCAGGAAGAATAAGAAGAAATGGTCACTACAGAGAGGACAGAAATTTTTAGTAATTTATGAATAAATTATATTTAGTATAAGAGCAATTAAAACAGAGTATAATATTTCTTTGTAATACTAGTCCATCAATGAAAGTAAAATTTTTATGGAGATAATATTTTACTTAAATGTAAAGTTAATGTTCCATATCATGAAAAGGGATTGCAAAGTTTTCATTCTTAATGAATTGCCCCTCTGTAATGAGATTTTACATTTCATTTTTTGAAAAAGTTTTTCCCACAAATATTGCCAAATACTAATATCTATTCATGTACATATGATTTTAATTGAATATATTCATTTCTTGGTAGGTCATTATAGAAGTCTACCAGATTCTTGTCCTGCTGTTTGCCTTTTCAATATGTCATCACAAAGTAGATTAATCACTTCTTTAAAAAAGATTTACTTATGCATACAGAGTTGGGGTACAGGCTGGAGGTGCAGGGAGTGAGAGGATTCATCTGAGACACAATGGAAAGCAGAACAGGCAGACTGATTTAGTACACTGCCGAGGGGAGCAGCAACAGAAATGAGACAGGAGAGGTCTGCTGTGCCAAGTAGGTAACCTCCCTGACTGGGGATTGAACTTGCACTGAAGCAGCTGCTAATAGCCTAATAGTGTTGTACCCCTAGGAAGGGCCCAGATTAATCACTTTCAATTGAAAGTTAGTAGAAGTAATACTTGCACAATTAAATGCATTTTGAAATACAGAAATTTCCTTTGCAATTATCTAAGGGCTAGAAAACACTACTTGATTTGTGGACTACTTGTGGATTGAGTTCTACTACTAATTTTGTTGGAAATAGCAATCTTTCTTCTTATTTTAATTTTTGACAGAAGTACAAAAAGTAGCCTGTAATTATTTATGATTCATAAATGAGTTTGTTTTGAAATGACTTTGCCACATAAAAATTTCACTCTTTTGCTTCGTAGTTTTAGAATGAATTCATTAGGAACATTACCAAGTTCACAGCAAAAGCAAGTTTCCTCATTTGTTCAGTATCTGATAAGTGATTGAAGATGTTTTTAAAGTTCAGAATAGTTTGCGCCCTCCCTGGTGGCGCAGGGGGTTAAAGCACAGCACTGAGAATCTAAAGCCACTTCCGCATGAGTTCGATTCCCGCCTGCCCCGGAGGTGACCACATGGTGTGGCAGACCTCTCCTGACCCACCCGCTGCTCCCCTCAGCAGTGTACTTCATCGATCTGCCTGTTCTGTTCCCCACTCTTGTCTCTGCTGAAGTCTCTCACCACCCCTGAGTCTCTGGCCTGTACCCCAGTTCTGTATGCACAAATAAATCTTAAAAAAAAAGTTCAGAATAGTTCAGTCTTATTCCTGAACTCAAAAAATTCACAACAAACCTTTAGCACTGCTAACCTTCAAACAGCTAGACAAGTTAGTTAGACAAGTTAGAATATTCACCTTTTATTTCTGAACAAAAACTTAAACACAGGCTTTAAATGCTTGTCTGTGACTATATTGCTAACTCAAACTAGGTGATGATGATAGTGACAAGCAAACTGATGAAATTAAGCAACTACATCATCAAAACAGGAGAAATGCAGAAATAGGTCAAAATGAAAATGAGAATTTTTATGACAACTACAACGTTGCTGACATCAGTAGGACTTAAAATGTGGTAGTATTGTATGAATATACACAAAAACTTTTAAAATCCATACTAGACTTCAAGGACAAAACTGGAAATGAGAAAAATAAGCAAAAAAGAATAAAAACATAATATTTAGGAATGGGAGGAAGTAGTGGAGTCAACAAAAAAGATACAGAAGTAAAATGTACAGAAGAAATGGACACAATAACTAACATCACAAAAAGTAAATGGCTATCAAAGATTAAAATTAGTCACCTAAGAAAATTAAATTTAAATGCAGTGAAATGCTTTTATAAGAAAACACTATTAAGGTAAAAAAAATGTACTTACTGACACAGCTATCATGGTACTATCTGGCCTCCATTCAGCTTGCCTATAGGACCCAAACTGAGAAGATGATTTTGCAGGTTCCTTGTAGGTTACAATTAACACACTGGGCTAGAAAAAAAAAAAGCTGTATTTTATTAATATCTCACAAAAACATATATACACACAAAAGTGAAGATGAGTTCTCTGAATATATCTTAACTATACAAGTATAAAATACTCTAACATTATGTCATCAATTTTAAAAGTCCAAGCAAATCAACTGAAAAAGAACCCATACATGAACACATTGTGAATACGCTGAACATATTATAAAGAAATTAAACCAATAATTAACAAAATAAAAAACAAAAGGCTCCATGCCATAGGTTCCTGGTGAACTGGAACAAACATTTAAGGAAAAAATTATACCAATTATTCACTCTGTAACTCTTTCTCTGGGGCCTAAATCACCCTAACACTACAATCTGACAGAGAGATTACAAGTAGAGAAATCAAAAGACCACTAATCTCTCATAAATATAGATACAAAAATTCTCAACAACTTGAATCCAAAAAGTATAAAAATTATATAGAACAAGTATTTAGTCCAGATATGCAGTTGCTTTAACATTCAAAAATCAATTAATATTAATCCATTGATTATCAATAGCCTAAAGAAGAAAAACCATAAATACACCAAAAGATACAGAAAACAGATCTGATGAAACCCAACACTGATTCATCACAAAAACTCTCCATAAATTAGGAACAGAGGGAAACTTCTTCAACCTGACAACATCTATTGTACAAAAAAACCTACAATAACATTATACTACTGGTAGGAAATTAGAAGTTATCCAACTCAGTACAGGAATGAAGTAAGGACATTCCCTCTCCCAATGCCTCTTTAAAATCTTACCAGAAGGGCTAGCTAGTGCAGTAAGACAATAAAAAGTATAATATTGGGGAAAAAAGAAATATAACTGCCATTCACCGATGGCAGGATTACCTATATAGAAAATCCAAAAGAACCAACAACAAAAACCCAGGAATAGGCCAAATGCCTAGTCACACCATTTGTATTCAACAGAGTACTGAAAAGTTGAGCCTGTTCAGAGAACAATTAGGGAAGAAAATGATATAAAAGATATCCAATCAAAAAGTAGTAAAACCAAAACCTGTCTGCAAACAATATAATCAAAAATTACAGTTAAAAATTTAATAAAAATGGACCAGGCGAGAAAATAACAAAATAATGAACAACCATATACCAGAGACATTCTGTGGGGGTGGAGTGGGGAATGGGATCAAAAACGGGGGGCGGG